ACATTGCATTGACGTACTTTGATTTATTTTATCTTTGTGTCTTTATTACTCAATTATGACTAAGATTTTGGGAAGAATATCACATACTGTGTACTTATTGCAACACATTAGGAGACACCAAGGCCCATTATTGGGGATGCTGAGCTTAATCACTTGGTTAAGGTTGTGTCCACCAGATTTTTATGTCATAAGGTCATCTTTCCCCCTTATAACTAATAAATAATTTGTGCATGAGGGGAGTGATAATTTGAAACAATGTGAATAACCTCTTCCCTTACATTTCACTTGATGAAAAGTTTTAGTATCCCTACTAGTATCAGTTTCTATGTCTATCACTCTCGCTGTTTTTTTATTAGCTAGAGGTAACATATATATTTTAAGATTTTATTTATTTGAGAGAGAGAGAGAGAGGCAGTGAGAGAAAGAGAGAACAAGCATTAGCCGATTGGAAGGGAGAGGCCGACTGTCCACTCAGCAAGGAGCCCAATGCAGGGCTTGATCCCAGGACTCTCAGACCATGACCCTTAGCAGAAGGCAGATGCTTAACCACCTGAGTCACCCAGGTGCCCCTGGAGATTCTTATATTAAGGGGAAAAAAAGCTTTTTCTTCTGCTTTTCCTCTTCCCCCCACTTTTCCTATCTTTAAGTATGAGTACAGCTTCATGGATTTTTTCTTTTTGGTCTTTTACATCTCAACTTTTATTATTTTCAAATGATCACATCATCACATTTATTCACAGAATATTTAATGTATAAAAGCATGTGGGGATGTAAATTCAGAAGACACAAGCTGTGTGACCTTAGGCAAGGAATTTATTTATTTTTTATTTTTTATTTTTTATTTTTTTATTTTTTTATTTTTGGCTTCTTCATCTCCTAACACACTGGAGGATGCACCACGTAATCACTAAGGTTGCTTGTAGTAGTGATTCTGATGATTCTTTGACCACCAAACATGTATTGTCTGATGGCCCACACTTTATTCAGGGGTGGCTACTTGATCTCTTTGTTTAAGAGTGTCATTACCATTTTATTTCTGAGTAATGTCCCTGAGTCTGGGAAAACAAGAACATAACAAAATGTTAATAGAATTGATTTTGACACCTATCTCTTTCTTCTCTGGATTTCTCTGTATCCAAATCTCCAGGAGGACCTTATGACTTTTAAGAGCAATTAAAAAAAAAAAAAAAACAAATTAGGGGCACCGTCAGTTAAATGTCCGACTCTTGGTTTTGGCTCAGGTCATGATCTCAGGCTCTTGAGATTGAGCCCTGTGTCCGGCTCCATGCTCAGCACAGTATCTGCTTGGATTCTCTCTCTCTCTCTGCCCCTCCCCCCATTCTCTCTCTCTCTCTCTCTCTCTCTCTCTCTCTCTCTCACACACACACACACACACACACACAAATAAACATCTTTTTAAAACCCCTAAAGCTAATATTTGTACAAATCCATAACTCTTACACCAACAGAAAAAGAAATCTCTTACTTTTTCATTTTTCCTCTTGCACTGAGGACTGTTGAGCTTGTTTGTGGAGTTTTTGAATTACAACAAAAAAAATTTTTTTTGAATTACAACAAATTTTTATTGGTTTTGAGAAGACATTCAAAGAGTGGTGCCAGGACAGGCTGGAAAAGGCTGTGTTAAAACCCTCTTTTTTTTCCCTTTTTCTTTCCATTATTGATTTCCTATGGTCAAAAGAACATGATCTGTATGACTTAGCTTATTTTCAATTTGTTGAGGTTTGTTTTATGACCTAGGATATGGTTTGTCTTAGTGAACGTCCCACAGGCACTTGAAACAAATATGTATTCTTCTGTTGTTTTGTGGAATGTTCTACACATGTCATTTAAATTCTGTCAGTTAATTTTGTTATTTCAGTCCTCCATATCCTTGCTGATTTTCTGACTAGTGATTCTATCAGTTGCTGAAAGAGGGATGACACAACTATAATGGTGTATTTGTTTATTTCTTTTTTCAGCTCCATCGATTTTTGCTTTATGTAAGCTGAGGCTCCATTATCTATTATAGACATGTTAGGATTGTATGTCTCCCTCATGTATCAATATCTTATATTATGTAATGCCTTTCTGTGTCTCTAGTAATTTAATTTTCTCTGAAATTTATTTTATATGGTATTAATGTAACCATTCCTGTTTCTTATAATTAACATTTGCATGGTACATCTTTTTCCATCCTTTTTCTTTCAAACTACCAATGTTACTAAATTTGAAGAAGTTTCTTGTGGACAGAATATTGTCGGACCATTTTTATTCATTCATTCATTCATTTAGATACACTCTACCCTTGTTACCATTTCTCTCAACCTGCTGCCGAGCAGAGAATCAGAGTGCTGCCTGTGTCTACCAGCAGGATCTAAAAGATCAGCTTCTTCCCTCCTCTTTTTTTTTTTTTCTTTGTCTACCCCTCTTAGCTGATCTGGGTTTGAGGCTTCTGCGATGCCTTGTCCAGTATATAGAAAACACAATATAGAAACCAGGAATTTGGGGCACCTGGGTGGCTCAGTCGGTTAAGCATCCAACTCTTGATCTCAGGTCTTGATCTCAAGATTGTGAGTTCAAGCCCTGCATAGGGCTTTATGCCCAGCATAGTGCCTCCTTAAAAAAAAGAAAAAAGAAAAAAGAAATCAGGACCTCACTACCATGTTGTTCCTCAAATTACCTTCTTCCCATGCTTTTAAAGCCTCCCCAGGGTCGTCTGTTATGTTTGACAAGTTTTAGTTGTAAGAGGGAGAGCCTAGGAGGATTGGAGTTACTTTGTCTTTATGTTTTTGTTTTTTTATTCATTATTATTCTTTTGGATATTTTCTAGTTTGGCCAGCTGGATCCTTTGCAAGCCAGGTGTCTCAAGTGTCTGACTCTTGATATCAGTTCAGGTCTTGATCTGAGAGCTATGAGTTCAAGCCCTATGTTGGGTTCAATGCTGGGCATGACGCTACTTTAAAAAATATGTTGTTTCAGGGACACCTGGGTAGCTCAGCAGTTGAGCGTCTGCCTTTGGGTCAGGTCATGATCCCAGGATCCTGAGATCAAGTCCCACATGAGGCTTCCCACAGGGAGCCTACTTCTCCCTCTGCCTATGTCTCTGCCTCTCTTTCTCTGTGTCTCTCATGAATAAATAAAAATCTTTTTTAAAAATGTTGTTTCAGACTGATAGTTCCCTTTCAATCCTACACCACAGAGTTCTTCTTTAATTTACATCACTCTCCCTTCTCCCACATGAGAAACCTGGTTCTCAACACAACAGTGTAGTTTATTTGCTCTATCATAGTCACTATTTTAGCTAATGCTGTCAAAATTATATATTCTTACAACTACAAAAAAAAGGGAAGAAAAGAAGAAAGAACTGAAAACTACTAAATAAAATTAAAACTATCTTTACAATACTTTTTCTGCCTAAAGTATATTGTACTGTAGTACAGCAGTCAGGGAACTATGCCCAAAATATTCTTTGATTAATTCTTTATTCTGTGTAGTTTTGTTGTCAACTTACACAAAAATGGCTTTACTATTTTTTAAATTTTAATCCACTTTTTGAGACTTTTTAAATTCAATTATATTTTTGAATTTGTGAAACATATTGTTCACAACTCTAAACTATATAAAAAGTTCTACTGAAAGAAATTCCATTCCCAGGCCTATACCCTCTACCACATTCTCAACCAACTGTGTGGGTAGCCATCTTCATTTTCATGATTCTTATTTATCCATACTGTGTTTGGTTTTGCAAAAATGAGCATATATGAATAAATGCATATATACATATCTAGTCCTGTGCTGTGTCATCCTCTTTCTCATGCAAACGTGAAGTACCATATCATTTTTTTTTGTGCCTTGACAACTTCACCTAACCATATGTATATGTCTGAAATCCCAGTAAAATAGTTAATGGACACCTTTCTCATTGTTTTCTATAACTTATTAGTACCTCAGTTTTTGCTGCATTATAGTCTAGTCTCCAATAGATGGAACTTTTCATTATTTCTAATAATTTGCTATATAAATAATGCCCCAGTGCATATTACTATTCAAATAATCCCCTTACAAAAGGAGAAAAAATGAGTGGGAAATATCAGAAAGGGAGACAGAACATGAAAGACTCCTAACTCTGGGAAACGAACAAGGGGTGGTAGAAAGGGAGTTGGGCGGGGGTGGGAGTTAGAGGGGGGCACTTGATGGGATGAGCACTGGGTGTTATGCTATATGTTGGCAAATTGAACTCCAATAAAAAATCAATTAATTAATTAATTAATTAATCCCCTTACATGTATATTGTTTCATGTTTCAGATGTATATTGAAGGTGTATTTCTACAAACAGTATTGATTAGCAAAATGGGAAATATATATATAATTTTATCATATGTTACAAAAATCTCCTTCATAAGGGTTGTAATATGCACTCCCATTCCTTTCCAAGGCCAGTGTCAGCTAATATCTAGTTCAGTGTACCTAATATCATAAATGTCTGTGTTGACAAAAGGTTTTTATCTTTCATAAAGCAGCACTAAAAGCAAGGACTTGTTATACAGCCAGGACATTTTGGGTAATTGATTGATTTTGTATTTATTGGTTTAAATTATTGTCAATGCATATACATTTATGCATATGTAAATATAAACTACTAGAATCCATTTTTTTTTAGAATCCATTTTTAGATGGTAGACTCAAACAGGCTGTCAGTAATATCTGTTATTTGGGTAGAATACATTAAATTCTAAGAATGTATGAATTGTTTTTTTTTAATATTTTGTAATATTAGAAAAACTTTCATAATGTTGAATATGTTCTTCAAAAATGACATTTAAATCTCATCTTAAAATATACTTTGAAAAATAATCATCTGAAAAATTTCCCATTAGAGGAGAGTTTGGATTCTATTTCAATCTCCACTGCTATTTTTCCTTTTGAATGTGACATTGGAGAATAATATCTCTTTATATTTTTATTAGGTTGGGAAAAACTCAAGTATCATGGCCTTAACTGTTACTGGGATTGCTTCTTCCATGAGACTTCTGCCTTCAAGTTTAGTGGTTTGAGTCACACACAAGGTATGGATTTCTACTTTATAGTCTGTCATTCTGTATGCTTTTGTATTTCAGAGATGATGAAATTATGTCTGTTGTCTTAGTATATTTTAATAACAATTACACAATTAAAAATTTGGACATGAATTTTAGTAAGTTGATAGAAAAACATAGGTAGTATAATCTTTATATATATTCATTATATCTTTGCTGTTTTTTCCATAATATATAAGTACAACTTGTAAAATATTTTATCTTTGAGATTTTGACTAGTTGAAAAGTCATACCACTTAATACTTAAGCATGTGAGGGGCATCTAGCTGGCTTAGTCAGTAGAGCATGTGACTCTTGATCTCTGGGTTGTGAGTTTGAGCCCTATGTTGGGTGTAGAGATTACTTTAAAATAAAATTTAAAAAAAAATACTTGTGTGTGAGTCAAAGAAGATTTTGGAAAATTAAAAATAAATAATATGCTAAAGCTATTCATAATCATGAAAAATAATTGCATCTTTACAAACCTAATGATTCCCTGAAAAATTATTAGGGAGTGTACATCTATTTGTACTATGTATTAATCATCCCACTTGCACATTGATGAATAGGAAAAAACCTAAGACATAAATAATGAAGTTGCTTAAAATCTAAAGCTCAAAAAATACTAATTTGCTTAAAATAACATTTTTATTGGGAACCTAATTGGCTCAGTGGTTGAGGGTCTGCCTTCAGCTCAGGGTGTGATCCCAGGGTCCAGGATCAAGTCATGCTCAGGCTCCCTGTGGGGGGCCTGCTTCTCCCTCTGCCTGTCTCTGCCTCTCTCTGTTTGTCTCTCATGAATAAATAAATAAAATCTTTGAAAAATAATAATATTTTATTTACATTAATTTAATCATAATAGTTATGGTAAACATGATAAAATATGAATTAGCATAATACTAAAATACTAACTGCAATCAGTGACTACTACTAGCATCCCAATACAAATGGGTTCATGACTTTTTTCTATTTATTGTACTTTTTTCTATGTATTGTATTTTTCTATTTATTGTATATCAGCATCCTCAATCTCATTATTTTATTTCATTTGATACAATTCCATATGTAAGTGGTATCATTACTCTTGTCGAATCAAGGAGATTGCGATTCAGAAAGTTGCTTAATGGCAAAGCAAAATCTCCTTGTGGATGACTTCAAAGTGTTTGTTTTCAATTTCCTTGTAACATATTAAAAATAGTGTGAACAGCAGTTCACAAAAGAGTGAATGCAGATGGCCAAGGAATGATTGAAAATATTTTCATAGTCATTGATATTCAAATAGATGTTGATTTAAATGATAGCCATCTAGGTTTTCTTTTTCCTTTTTGATATTTACTTTTGTATTTCCTCGAAACCATGGTGAAATCTGAACACGTAATGGTTGGGGAATACAAATCACAGCATAGCTTCCGTAAAGCACTTTGTGTAAATGTATATAAAGAAACTTAGAAATTGTCACCCTTTTGACCCAGCAGTTGCAATTCTACTGAGATCATTTTTTTTAAAAGATTTGTTTATATATTTTAGAGGGGAAGGAGCAGAGGGAGAGGGAGAGAGAGTCTTAAGCAGACCTCACGTGAGTGTGGAGCCTAACATGGGGTTCAATCTCAGGACCCTGAGATCACGATCTGAACCTAAATCAAGAGTCTGACACTTAACTGACTGCACCACACAAACACCCCTCTGCTGAGAACACTTACAGAAAGAATCAAAATATTGCATTGTTATTAATAGCAAAAAGTCGGAAAACCCCTGAATGCCAAATAACAACTTTATATTTGTATTAATTATTTACATTTCTTCTTATATTTTAATTTTACTTACCCATTGAGTATATGAGACATTTTCTTTTTTAAAATTTTTTCCATTGGTTCTACACTTTCAGGCTTCCTACATCCTGAAATCCATCAAAAATTCACCTACATTTTCTTTTTCTTCTATTTTGTAATGGGGAAGGAGTTATACATAAAAGGGCAGCTTTTAAATTTTCTCTTAAATCATCCAGGTTTTGCTTTTTTGCTATGTAATTATAATCTAATTTGATTCCCCTACTTAACTAGCAAGCTTCCCATCTTTTCATCTGATAATAATCATCATTCTGAAGCTATTTATTTTTGCAACCTATATTCAGATCATATATATTCTATTATATGGATCTATATTTCAGGCCTTGCTCTAGTGCCATACAGTTTAAATGTTACAATTTTATGTTTCTTTTTTTTGTGTGTGTGTTTTCTTATTCCATTTCTTTCTTTTCATGATCTCTTAAAGAATTTATTTCACCCAGAGACGCCTGGGTGGTTCAGTCAGTTAAGCATCCGACTCTTGGTTTCAGCTCAGGTCATGATCTCATGGGAGCTCTGTTTCTAATACTGCTATTGACATTTTTAGAGACTTTGAGATTCATTGATCATACTATAAAAATTACCTGTAGGTATAATCTCTTACACCATATAAAGCATTTATAACTTTAAAACTCTTTCCACTTTTACATGGAACATTTCCTTGGTGAGTCCTTGAGAACTATAGAGATTATCTTATTCTTGACCAGTGTTTACCTAAGTGTGTAGAGTGAAATACTAATTTCAAGAGATAGAAATAGGTGTGATATGAGATTTAAAAAAAAAAAACACTAAGTTCTATGCTTCGATAAATTTGGGAAATACCAGCTTAAACAAAATTTCCTTTATAGCAGGGTTTCCTAGGAACTTTTTTCTTCTAATGCTGTCTATATTTCCATATAGAGGAGATGACATGCTTTTGGAATATATATCTGTCTAAGAAACATACTTTTGTAAATACTGTTCTCCGGTGAACTAATTCAGCAAAGAAGTTCTAAACTCCTACCCTCCAGTGTGCCATATCCTGTGACAGTGCATTCAATTCAATTCAGCGAAGGGCTCAACATTAAAGGGAGACCAAGTGACAGCTGTGAAGACTAGTATATGTATGTTTCTCAAATGTGAATGCTGCTGCTTCATTTCATGCTAAGCTTTTCTAGGCATCATCCCAGTCTCAATCTAACTTCTGAAATATTTTGATCAATATATGACAAAAGGACATAGGTACAAATAATTTCTGCAAACCTTCTCATATTAACTTCTTTCTGAAATTTAAGTTCCTTTGTATTCATAAAATCCTCTCATAAAATCACATCTCTATATATGAAGATATCAACCAAGACTAGAATTCTAGCCATTGACACTGGTTTTTTTTTTGTTTTGTTTTGTTTTTTGGTTTTTTTTTGTTTGTTTTTACATTGGAAAAAAAAAGTTTCATGTCCTCTACAGAAACTTTTAATTCCTCTACAGAAACTTTTTCTTCCTAGAATTTTTCTTCTTTAGGATGAGTTCCATGCTATGTTGTAATAGCTCAATATTTCATTTTGTTTTTAATAAGTTCACTGTCCTTTTTGTTATCTTTCTCTCAAAATTGGTGACAGGAACTAGACAGGAGGGGGAGAAAAAAGGGTCTTCCTGTCAGTGAAGAATGTTAACCTGCCAGGCTTTCACTTTGAAGCTCATTCTTGTCTACACATCTAATTAGGTTGAGTAACCAAGAATGAGATAAGAGTAGAGGTGAATTGTGATCTCAGAAGACATCCTGCTACAAAGCTGATACATTTATAAGACTTGAAGTGTTCTTTTTCTGCTTCACCACGAAGTAATCAAATGTCACTGAAGCAAAATCAAGATTAAACCCTTGAGAAAAAAATTTTAGCTGTAACATTTTCCTGGGTCCTCTGACTGTGACATTTAAAAAATCAGAGCCAGGGGAGGGGAAGGGGTTAGTTGAATTAGATATCATACTGTAGATCTAGAGAATAAGGTGCTACTTCTAGGACCCTAGGAGGAGATCCAAGCTACAGGGACTGGCATTAGATGTGTAGTCTGGGGATCCCTGGGTGGCACAGCGGTTTGGCGCCTGCCTTTGGCCCAGGGCGTGATCCTGGAGACCCGGGATCGAATCCCACATGGGGCTCCCGGTGCATGGAGCCTGCTTCTCCCTCTGCCTGTGTCTCTGCCTCTCTCTCTCTCTCTCTCTCTCTCTTTCTTTCTGTGATTATCATAAATAAGTAAAAATTTAAAAAAAAAAGATGTGTAGTCTGAAAGTCTGTTGTGTTCTGGTTTTTACTGTAACCTAGAAAAGTTGTTAGCTTGAGCTAGTTTCTGTATTTTCTAGGTCCTAACCTGGACATCATAGAAAGTGAAAATTAGTTTTACCAAACAGGATATTTTTTGAAGAACAATTGCAATTGTGTATATGAAGACATTTCTCTTTTTTTAAGATTTTATTTATTTATTCATGAGAGGCACAGAGAGAGAGGCAGAGACATAGTCAGAGGGAGAAGCAGGCCCCCCTCGGGGAGTCTGATGTGGGACTCGATCCCAGGACAACAGGATCACGACCTGAGCCAAAAGTAGATGCTCAACTGTTGAGCCACCCAGGTGCCCCTGTGAAGACATTTCTAAACACTAAAATTATGTACTGGTCATGAGTATTATTCGTATAGGTGAAAATAAGTCAACACAAAGATGAATTCCTGGCTTTCTTCATTTTTTTTTAAATTTATTCATGAGAGACACACAGAGAGAGGCAGAGACATAGGCAGAGGGAGAAGCAGGCTCCCCACAGGGAGCCCGATGTGGGACTCGATCCCCGGACCCCGGGATCATGACCTGAGAGAAAAGCAGACGTTCAACCACTGAGCCACCCAGGAGCCCTATTTCTTCAGGGTTTTTTTTTTTTTTTCATTTCTTCAGTTTTTATTAGAAACAAGACTAGCATACTGCCAATACATGCCAGGAAGTATATTTCTGAAAAATGAATAAAGAAATAAATACTAGGCTTTTTTCTTCTGAAATCCATTTGTTTTCTAGGTGAAACAATTGGTAAACAGATGCTTTTAACTTTCATCAGTTACTCATTGATGAAGAGTCTTGTTGCCTTAGGTGAATACTAGTTTTCTAGAAAAGAATTTCTTACAGAAT